TTTTCCCAGTCTGGACTTCGACTTTCATCTCCCTCTCCACTTTGGCTTTTGACTTTTCGAGCAACCTCTTGCCACCATAGCCTCCGTTGCTTCGTACTTGCTCTCCTTCTTGGTTTTCTTCCTGAGCTCATAACTATACAAAGCAACAGTTACATCTTTAAGGGTAACATTATCATTACCATGAAGTAGCGTTGTCTCAAGGTGCTCAAATTCATCTGGAAGAGATGACAACAACATCAAGGCCAAATCTTAATCTTTGAAGGTTTCATCCATGCCCAATAAGTCTGCCACTAGCTCATTGAACGCAGTGATGTGTTCATTCATATTGGTGTCTGGTTGATAATCAAATCTAAACAATCTTTTCTTCATGTGGAGACGATTCTGAGAGCTTTTCTTTAGGAATTTTTCCTCCAATGCTTTCCACATCTTACTTGCAGAAGTCTCGTTCTTTTAGCCATACTTCTGCTCCCTGGAAAGACAAGATCGAATCGTGCTGCACGCCAAACGATTGATTGTTCCCCATTCTTTCTCCTCCATATATTCGGGCTTTTCTTCCTCAATGGCGATGTCTAGACCTTGTTGGAATAAAGTGTCTAACACCTCGCCTTTCCATACGCCAAAATGACCGGATCCATCGAACAACTCCACCGAGAAATTTGTATTTGACATCATCCTTCTCACCGGTCCGGATGAAGAGCTTGATGTCTCAATTGATCCATATTTTTGCATTTTAATTTCAACAAACAATATTCAATAGCATAAATTGTATCTTTTCAGCAACGGAACCACCAGGATATTCTCAACCGAAGCTCTGATGCCAATTATTAGGGAAATCAGGTTATTTCCCACAAGAACGTAGTTTCAAAATTGACCTAAAATCTCAAGATCAAAACCACCAAAGGTTGCACAGCGGATAAACCTGTCAAACTATTGAATATTGAAACACAATGGAAAAAACCGAATAAAAACAATAAAGAAGAGAACACACCAAATTTACAATGTTCGACGAAAATATCGTCTACTCCTCGGGCACCACACCAGATGATAACTTCACTATATTGCCAATATTACAACAAATAGAATTCTTTAGAATTACCAAAGTGGGAGAATGAAGAATACAAGAGGAAGAGAGAACTTGTTTTTAGGATGATTTCTAATGAAATACTTAGGCCTATTTATAGTTGAGTTTTAAGGACTAAACTTATAAATAACCTAATATTTTAGGGATCAAACATGAAAAATAAGTTGACCACCTATCAAAGAATTTTCCAATGTGTACAAGTTAGCCACCAAATATGAAATTCCCATGTTCAAAGTTTGGCCACTATCCAAGATGAAATTTCCAATAAGTTGGCCACCAACCAAGATGAAATTTTCAACTTGCCAACTTAATTTCAAGCCAAATCCAACACAATCATCATCTAACATAGCTTCCCATCCTTGTCGAGCAGCGTCCTCGTCCTCGTCCTCTTTGCACGGAAGGACGGTTAGGTTAACCAAAGGCCATCCTTTCATCATTCGTCCGATGGCGAGAGCTTCTCTGTCATCCTTGCCTCCCAAGTAAAGCACGCATACATGATACTTGGACGATTTGTCCGCCATCGGTATCCTACGGGATTGGTCACGATCGACTAGAATGCCTACGGAACAAGGTGCCTTGTTCATTACTTTAATGTTGAAGGCCCTTAATTCTTTGGAATCAGCGATTATCTTCCCTTTCTGTTCCATTTCCTATGGAATGGAAGTATTATTAATGCTACTGAATTTTGAAAGGAAACCCAGCGAACGTCTTCATGCATTAGTGACTGAGGTGACATTGCTGTGTAAACTTGAACTTGAGTTGGTTTACTGCATTAGTTCTTAAAGTGATTGAAAACGTCGATGCTCGGTTGCCAGTGACCACCTTCGTAACAACTCTTTCGGCCTAGTTGGTGATTAAGGAGGAGCGGACTCGATCCGCCAACGAGTTCTTCCAAGTAAAGCCCGAAAACCGAAAGGGGAGTCCCTTTGAATGGATTCATAAGTTGAAGTAGCTTGGTTGCAGACAATGCATCATCTTTCCTATGTGCAAAGTCTAGTTTCTGGTAGCCTCTGTATGTCTTTGATGGATCATAAAGCTTTCTAGTAACTATTGGAACAAGTGCTACGTAAACTGATACGGACCAGGAGAATTCTTGAGGATCAATGTCCTGAAATTAAGAACAACAAAGAGAGATTTGAACAAAACAGCCGTGGCTTATGACCAAAGTAAAAGGACAGGTTAAACAAGTGCTTCAAAGGGATTCTGAATTGAGTACCGTCTTGTCTACGTTCATCGCAAAACAGCCTAATTCTATTATGCCTTTGGATGTCAACATCGGTGCCATAGCAATGACATCCTTTAGAGGAACTTTCAAACAAATTGCAGGAATGAACCCACAAGCCATCTTAAACAAAACTCCGAAAGTAACGGTAAAAAAATATCCAAGCAGGCTGTCGCCTTTTGAGTTCCCCCATATCCGATCTGAACCTGCAATAAGTCGACATAAGTGGAAGCATCCAATCTGCTACAATGGTGTCTAATTTCTCTATCAGAGTTGAAGCCAAGGGATGCTCTGTTGGCACAGTTAAGCCTAGTATAAAAGGACCATACATGTATTGTAGTCCAGCGTTTTCACCAGCCACTGCAGCAACTAGTAGAGCTATAATAACAAAGAAGAGGTAAGCATCTTTGACCGGCTTCCCTTCGGTGTTCGTCGGATGATCCAGTATATCATCCCTCGTAAAATCGTAACGACAAACATGTGAAGATGATAACGTGAAACATTGACTTGAGAGCGACACGTTCTGACGCCAACTTGCTTAGCTTGTCTAGTTTATCCAAATTTACAATCACTACACTTATTAAGTCACTGATCAGTGATCAATGCTGATGACAGAGTAAGGTTTCCCAACTCGGAGTTGATGATCTTGAGATGCATTAGGAGAATGGCCACCACTGGAAATGAAGTTAACATGAACAAACCTGCGAAAAGCGAAACCCATTGCTGGGCGTCTTCTTTGACCTTGTCGACCTTTAAGCTAATGGTTTGGGCTGAGGAAACAATGAACAGAATGGGGAAGATGATAACAATGGAGCCTATAGTCCATTCCCTTCTACCAGATTTCCTTAAAAGGTTCACATCCATCGTGACACCGATCAATAACATGAAAAACAAGTACCCAAACCGTGTTAACGTCGACAGGACTTTCACCACATGTTGGAGAACAAGGCGGCCGAGCACCGTCGGACCGAGTATCACGCCTGCCTGCCATTTTCACAGCATTCCAAAGTTAAACATCCTTCAGTTTGGTCCTTTTGGGACAAATCTAAACGACGTAAAAACATGTTACATATATGACATTAGGGGTGTAATTCATTTTTATTTTTTAATTTGTGTTTAGTCGTTTAACATTGGCGAATATTTAACATTTGCAAATATGTTTATTTAAAGTTCGGAAACATATTTGTTCAACGTTACTTTATGTTGACAACCAACACTTTTTTTATACTTTTATTTACAATCCAAAGGAAAATGATAAAATTATACCACTAATCCTTAATTTCCTTTGAATTTACAGTTTAAACTCTAAGGTTCAAATTTAATTTCTATATTCACTAATATTCAAAATATAAAAAAAAAATAATAATAAGAACTGGATAAATGAACTTATAAATGAGTCGATAAAAGAGCTTATTCATAAACATAAACGAATCGAACACAACTCTATTTATGTTCATTCGTTTATTAAATGAATATACATAAATTTTGTTTATACTTTATTTAAAACATAAACAAATGTTATAAGAAAGATTCACAACATTTCGTCAAACTATTCATAGGCAGTTTCTCGAACGTTATATTAATTTACACCTCTACCTATATTATACGCGGAAGAAACAAAGGGAAATACCAGGACTTCGGAGATGAGACGAGGCAAATAGAAGTACCGAAGACAGAGGTGAATGATGGTGGCAAGGGTGAATGATGGTGGCAAGGGTGAAGATGATAGCCAGCTGCAGTTGCAGAAGAATGAGTTGATGTTTGAAAATTCTTTCATCTTCTTCTCGTTGAAGAATCCTTCGGAGATGACCGGAATGAATTTCCGGTATCTGGGATCCAAATCATGGTCAGCAGTAAATCAGCCATTGGGGCTTGCCTCAATGATCATTTCACAAAAGCTTTTATCGTTTATACTCTAAAGAAGGTGGATGGAAATATTAGAGGAAGACGAAGAATACGGAGACTATCCTTTGAGATTAATGGAGCTTACGATTTCTCATTCAGGCACTCACCGGCTGTTTTTGACTACTTCATTTAGCTATTTCTTTCTCATTGTTTTTTTTTTTTTACATTTTTGGACAAAATATATATATGTTTTGCGCAATACTTTCCTTTACCCGAATGGCACCCAAATAATATTATTAACAAAAATGATATTCAGACGCCCACATAAGAATGCCTTTTAAAAAGTGCGTTTGAGAGGGGGTGTCTTTGTCCATGTCATAAATCATTTCGACGGTTATTTTCATAATGATGTCGTCTAAGCTCAAAATGAAAAAAAATAAAAAGGTATGAGCCTGTACGAGTTTCGTTCAAAAAGAAACAACAATCGCGATACGTATTGAAAAAGGTATTACTCTAATCAAATTATCTTTATAATTTGTAATTTATACAATTTTCTATTATAGTGAATTGTTTTTAATTATCTATGAATAATGGTTTAAATAGTTGAAATTGTTTTGATTTTTTTACCAGTTCATAAAGTATGATCAATAGATGTTTTTAGGATGCTTTTTATATGTATTATGTTTATATTTTTAGATAAAATTTGTATAATATTTTTATTATTTTTCTTTCTTTCTATTTCTCTTGATGATTGTAAATATTAAGAATTTGAGTAAATTACGCGTGTTTAGTGTCTAAACTATCGAGTTTGATTCATTTTAGTACTTAAACTTTTAATTTTCTAACGATTAGTTTTTGTTTCATTTTAGTACCTCATCGACAAAAAAAAATTAGTGGAACTGTTATAACTTGGCACTTTTATGGGTAAATTACATCTTCATCACTCAATTGTCTTCTCACTCCTATTTGGGTTATTGAAGTTTAATTTTTTAATTTAATTACTTAACTTTTAAATTTCTCTTAATTCAATCATTCTAACTTTCAAATTTTTTTTATTATAATCATATATTGATAAAATAATAAAACTTATCATGTTACAAAATAAATTAGAGTAATTAAAACAAGAGCAATTTGAAAGTTGAGTACTTAGATTGAAAGTTTTTAAACTTTAATGACCAAAATATGAGTTAGAAGATAGTTAAGGGATGAATAATGTAATTTACCTATAAAAAAAGTCACGTACAAAAAATCCTTTAAATTTTTAACGGCGGTAATAAAATGAAACAAAAAGTAAATGTTATGTCTGATTTTAAAACAAATAAAAGTTTAGATACTAAAACTGATAGTTTAAATATTATATATGTAATTTACCCATTATTTCGTGTTTGTATAAATACGTGACTTTATCAATATCATGTTTATATTTTTTAGATAAAATTTATACAATATTTCTAATATTTTTTACTGTTTCTCTTCCTTTCATTTTGATCTTGATCAATGTAAATAGTAAAAAGATATATATACCTTATCAAAAATAAATACTACTTCGATTCTACTAAAGAAAATTAAATATTTTATAAAATTCGAACTCATGTCTCAATGTATATATTACGTTTCTTTTAATGTATTTGATAAAAAGATATTGGAAGTAATTTGATTCAATAAAAAACATCGGAAAAGATAAAATATAACATAGACTACTTATCCTTTGAATAGAGAAAATATTTAGTCAATTATTAATTTATTTTTTTTATCTTAATATCATATTATTTTTTAAATAAATATATAATTATATAATTATGTTAATTTAAATTAATTATTTTTATTATTGTTTAATTATTTTTGAAAATTATTTTACATTTTAAAAATGTATATAATTTTTTTTGGATAAGTAAAATTCATTCATCCAAAAAGTAGCAGACGAGCTGTTGTACAACGTATACCCCTATACAATCTATACAATTATATCAATCCCCAAGTTACACACAATTACATATTTACAGCATCTAATCTGTTCATATGAGATCTATACAATTTAATTCTCATAGCATCCTTAACCCTACTTACAATAGTATCAATCGAACGAGCCACTCCTCTAAAAATCATGTGATTTCGTTCCTCCCAAATGTAATAAATGAATCCAGTCCAAGCTAGCTTGAGAAGGTGAACCAGAAGAGACTTACCTTTGAGGTTATGTATCAACCACTGGAGGTGATCACTCCAGCATATGAACTCCTGAGCAAGGTCACAGGTGAGAAGAATAGCACGCCAAATGCTATTCGCAAATACACACTCAGAAAAAATGTGATTACGAGATTCAGTACCAAAATTACATAGCCCATAAGTCGTATCTTCTGCCAAACCAAACCTTGCAAGCCTATATTTTGTAGGCAATCTGTCCAAAATTGCCATCCAAAAGATTAATGAAAATTTAGGAACATGGCCTGGAAACCACACAAGGCGATGCCAGTTAACATTCTCAAGCCTACTTCGAATGTTGTCCCATATCCAACTAACCTTACTTTGAGTCCAGCCGCAGTTAGAGCAAAACAGTCTCCAAGCATCACTTTTTAGCTTAAGCAGTTTAGCCAGAATCCAGCTAAAATGGATCTTGTTTTCCACATTCCAAAAGTCAACAGATCTAAAACAGTACACATTAACCCAGGCAATCCAGAGTGAGCCTTCTCCTGCTAAAATTTTCTTTATGAGCAGCAAACAGCAGGCTTTGTTCTAATCCAACAAGCTCCTTAACCCCAAGCCTCCTTCAGATTTCAAGGAACAAATCTGTCTCCATCTAACCCGAGCACCCCTAGTAGGGGTGTCACCACCTTTCCAAAAAAATCTCATACAAAGTTTCTCAATATCTCTGATCACCCCATTAGGCATGATAAGTTGTCTGCTCCAGTAGCTAAAGATACTAAACATCACAGCTTTAATGAGCTGTAATCGGCCTCCAAAACTTAGCTTTTTACTTGACCATTTGCTAAGTTTCTCTTTAATTTTAATCACCAAAGCAGAACATTCTTTCCATGCGAGTTTCCTAGTTACCAAAAGTACACCAAGATACCTGACAGGGAGTTTCCCAACTTTGAACCCAGTGCCAGAATGAATCTGCTCAAGGACATGGTCAGATACACCACAAGCATAAATCTCAGTCTTCATGGCATTAAGTCTAAGGCCAGAAAGCTCATAGAAGACCTCTAAAGTGCTCAATACACCCAACACAACATCAAGGGATCCATGGCAGAACACCAACAGGTCATCAGCAAAGCAAAGATGGGTGAGAGAAATCCGCTTGCATTTAGGATGATACTTAAAAATACCATTCTTGGCAGCAACATCCAATAAGTATGAGAGAATATTCATAGCCAAAATAAAAAGGTAAGGGGATAAAGTATCCCCCTACCTAACCCCTCTAGCACCATTAAAGAAACCTACCAGGCTTCCATTAAATAAAATTGAATATTTAGGGGAGGTGACACATGTCTTAATCCATCCACAAAACTTATCAGGCAGACCCATGGCCTCCAGCACAACCATAAAAAAAACCCAATTCACATAGTCAAAGGCTTTTTGTAAATCAATTTTAATGGCACACCCAGGAGAAAGACTTTTCCTAGAATAACCTTTGACTATCTCCTGAGCTAACAAAGTATTGTCAGCAATGTTTCTACCCTTGACAAAAGCATACTGACTAAGAGAAATCATTCCAGGGAAAAAATGAGACAGTCTAGTGGTAAGGATCCTAGTGATGGTTTTGTAAACCAAAGAACAATAAGAAATTGGTCTAAAAGCTTTGGCCATGCAAGCATTTAGTGTCTTTGGGACTAATACAATTTAGGTTGCATTAAAAGTTGGCAACAAGAAAGAGGAATGAAAGAAATACCTAATTGCAACAAGGAAGTCACACCCAACCACTTCCCATGCAGCTTTAAAAAACCAAGAGGAGTAACCATCAGGCCATTGGCTTGTCCCATTTCCTTGCCTAAACAAAGTAGCCTTGATTTCTTTGTCATCCACGTCTCTAAAAAGAACATCCCCAGCATCATCTGGTAAGGAGAAATTTAACAGATTTTTTAAATAATCCACATTAGTGCCCTTGACTGTTGGATCAACAGTACCTATGAGGTTAGTGAAGAAGTTCACTAACTCAGCAACCATATCTTCAAAGGAATCCATATATTGTCCACTTGCATTCATTAGAACCTTTATGGTATTCCTTTTCTTATTTGACTCAACTCTTTGGTGAAAAAAATTAGTATTGAGATCACTTTCCTTAAGGCAATATACTTTAGCCTTCTGCTTGTAGAATTCAGACTCATCAACCTCCAAATCCACCAACTCAACATAAATTCTCTTCTCCTCCTTCAAACTTCTTTGATCAGTGTGATTCAGATTGTGCAGCTGAATTCTTTCATAATCTTCTCTCTTGCTGAGCACTCTGTTAGAAATATCAGAGAATTGGTTCTTGTTTAGTTCCCTCAGCCTAGCGTTTAGCCTTTTCATCTTGAGAAACATACATTGCATAGGATTGCCAACACACTCCTCCAGCCAAGAGTCCTTCACAATTCTCAAAAAATCATCACTAGCAGTCCAGCAATTAAAAAACTTAAAAGGCATAGGTCTCCTAGCCAAAGCACCCCTCTGAGTCTATAGCACACCTAAGCAATGATCAGAAACACCTTGTGCCATATATTCAACATACGAGTCTGAGAAGTTAATCAGCCATTGAGGGTTGATCCAAATTCTGTCTAATTTGCGAGCTAAAACACCCACATCTTGCCTATTAGTCCAGGTAAAAGTGGGCACCTGGTAAGGATGATCCATAAGATCCAAATCCTGAAGGCAGTCTTGAATGTCATCCATCTCAGAGGAACTGTACAAACCCAGATTCTCACAGTCTGAACTTTCTTCTGCCCTTAGGATAACATTAAAGTCTCCCTCAACCACCCAAGAAGCAGAACCAACCATACACTCCAAGTTCTTAAGATGATTCCATAATTCTCTTCTAACTAAGCCACTGTTACTGGCATAAACAGCTGTGATCAGAGTCCTGTGGCCATTGACAAAACCAACAACAGTAAGAGACTGATCACTATAGCTTAAAATAGAAAACCACATCTGCTTCCTCCACAACATCCAGATTGTGCCACCCTCAGCATAGTCATAGTTATCTGCCATGTTCTAGTCTTCAGAGAAAGTAGAGAAAATCTTTCCAGAATTAGGCCTCTTAATTCGAGTTTCAAGTAAACAAATGACATCCACATCCAACTTAACCACCCTACTGAATACCTTACCCATCTTAAGAGGATTATTAATTCCTCTTACATTCCAAAAGCTTATTAGCATCAAGCATTAATTGGGCCCACACCACCAACTCCCACAACATTACCCTTAGTTTTATCAATGTGTTCTCTCTTTTTGGATTTAATTTCATTAAGGAGAGCAGCAACCCCCATGGAAGCTACCCGAGCCTTCTTTGGGCCATCAATGACACCTCCTCTTACCATAGCTTTAAATTTACTAGAATAGCCCACATTATCTTTCTTCCTACCTCTTCTTCTTGTTAGCAACAAAGTCTTGTAAGTTAGGAAAATCATTTATAGGACTAACATCTTCTTGCAGAGCCTGCAAAGCAACTTCCTCTACTAAATCAGGGCAGAGCTTACTGTCAAATTCGGCAACCTCCTGACTCACATCAGCTTCCTTATTAAGAACTAGCATAACACCACCATAAGTGTTAGAGATTTTCAGATCAACACCAGAAGCAGTGGAGACATTCAATTCAGTACTAGTAACAACAGAATCCTTAGCATGGCTATCAGAGATATCTTGAAGAGCTAAAACATAAAGTTCCTCAACAGGGCCAACCTGCAGCTCAGAACTCAAATTACCCACACCAGCAACAGGGTTAACAGCACCAGAGAAATCAGTAGAAAGAAAGGATTTCTCCAAATGCAGCTCAGAATGAGCATCATCATTCCTTCTCCAAATCTGGACCTCTTTCCTTTCAGGAGCCTTCTGAACCACAACACATCTATTTGCCAAATGACCAAAAGATTTACAAGAAAATCAAGATTTTGGCTGCCAAGGTACAATCACTTTAACCCTCGTAATAGTACCATCCTTCAAAACTACTTGAATCTCATCAGGAATCTCAAAACCAGCTGAAATTTTAATACATACTTTAGCATATTCTAACCTCTCCCTAGAAGCCATGATAGAATCCATGTATAAAGGATTACCTAAAACATTGGAAATGTAACTAAGTCCCATTTTAGTGTAAAGTTCCAGTGGAACATAATGAAGTTAGACCCACACAGGCATGTTAGTTAAGTCAAAATCAAGTTTCTGCATGCTTGGCTCCCACTTCCTCAGTACCAAAGGAATATTCTGGACATGTCATGGTCCGTTTTCAAGGACCCAATCCCTTACAGAAGCATTCGTAAATGAGAATACATAGATATTTGTACTAGCCAGACTAACCTTTACTGGAGAAAACTTCCCCCAAAGAGAGCCGATTATCCGTTGCATCGAGGCAAAATTAGGTGCAACACCAATGAATTGACCCACGATCTTAGTATTCCACTCAGCAATACCTTCCTCGATCACTGACAATGGTGCCTTAACAGTAGCAGAACCATCAAGAAATTCAGGAGGGAAGAAACTGAGAGATTGTTCTTCCGTCCCCAAAAAGAGTTTCCTCCAATCAAGCTTCGTAACCTTCGAATCCATGCAATTAACCGTAAAAATGTATATAATTAAGGAACAATATATTTAAATAATTTTTCAATACTATCAAATAATTTTTTGTGCATACTAATAAATTTAGTCCACGTTTACACCTTTTTTCATTATTTATATTTATTCTTTTTTGTCTAAATCTCATCATCAAATTTTAAAAACAATTAAATTCGATCTTCATCCTTTTAAAAAATAATTTTTAAATAGAAGTATTTTTTAAAAATATTAAAAAAATTACACCGTTGATATATGATAGTCCGTGTATATTTTATGAGTTTTTTAAAATATCTTCATAATTTTAAATTATTTAAAATATAACCTATAAATGAATAATTTTATATTAATATGGAATACTACCACATAACACATTAACCCAATAGTTTTCCTTTTAGAAATAAAATGCACATGAAACAAAACCGGCCCATGATCCCAGACCGGGAATTCCTCCGAGCAATCTCACACACGCAATCTTTTCTTACAATATAGGACAACTAAAAACATTGACTTGGAACTATAACAGCGTACGGTTTACAGATCTAAATTGTTAATCATTATCCACCAATGAAACACAACCACGTGTCCATCTGTAGTTATCTTCCTTCGTTTTCTTTCTCAGGCGCTCTCCTTCCATAAATCTCTGCAACTCCGAAAGAAAAAAAGAATAAGATTTTTATTATGGGAAATGCTCTGAGATTCTTGTATAGCCGTTGCTGCAAGCCCACCACAGCTGGCGGCTCCCACGGTGTCTCAACCACCGACGACGGTGTTTCGGCTCTCTCCCATGATCTATTCCAATTCGACACCACCTCTCAGGTAACCTTTCTTCGAATTTTCATCCTCTGTTACTTTAATTGAGCTAAAGAACGAATCTGGGTTTGGTTTGAGTTTCGTTAAAATTGTGTTTTCAAACTTGTTTTTAGGTTCCTGAAGGACTAAGTAATCATGTGGTTTCGTCCAAGAAAGCTCAGGCCAATTGGTAATTTAATTAACAGTGTTATGAATAATTTTTGCCAACAATAATTGTGTTCTGTCTGAAATATGACAACTGATGATGAAGGTATAGAAAGCTATTAGATGCATGGAGAGAAGCCAAACCGCCTCCGAAAACTCCCGAGGAAGCCTCGAGGTTTGTCGTTCAGACGTTGAAGAGACATCAAAAGGCGGATGTTGAGGTGCAAAATTGCAGAAACCACCATTAAATCTTACACCATATGATTCAGATCATCACAAGTTTGTTTTTTGTTTTAAATGTTTTCAGGGATTGTTGGCATACTATGGTCTTCCTCATCAGCCTTCTGCTAGCTGCCCGACATCATCGTCTCAAGTAGTCAAGTTCGAATTGCAGACTTTACCGGTATGGATCGTCTTTCTTGAAACTTTGGATTTGGGTACAGATTTATGCTTCAAACGTGTCCGAATATGAGTCGAACATACGTAATGAAGTTGAAATAATTAGGTGGATCTGAAAGCAGTACCAGATGGAGATACAATAACAGTGTATGTAAGTACTACAGATCCTAGAGAGTCAGCAAACTTACCTCGACAAGTACGATTGGCGGCTGATCAACGATCAAAAGCACGTGCGGCCAAGAACTATACAAAAGCCGATGAACTTCACAAGAAAATTACTGATTCGGGATACAGGTTCAACAATTTAAATCATTAGAGTGCCCCTGTATTATCTTCTAAAACTGATGGTTACTAATACGATTTATCTTCTTAACAAATCCAGGGTCTTAAATCTTCAGAATCAGGAAATCCTTGCTAGAAAGTATCGGATCCGGTTAAGGTAACATTACTTCCTTTGTGAAATGTCGATGTTTCCTCAGTTAAATATCATGACAGTGCAATGAAACAGGGGTATCGATGCGCCGGAGAGTTCGATGCCGTACGGCAAAGAAGCAAAAGCAGAGCTGGTGAAGCTTATTCAAGGGAAATGTTTAAGTGTTGTTGTCTACGACGAAGATCGATATGGTCGATGTGTTGGTGATATATACTGCGATGGCAAATTTGTTCAGGTGTTTTTCTTCGAATATAACACTTCCGTCTCCTGGTTTACCCCACACGAGCCAGTTCAGATTACTCTAATAATCTCCATCTGAAACAGGAAGTACTGCTGAAAAAGGGGCTTGCATGGCATTACTCAGCTTACGACAACCGTGTAGAGCTCGAAAATGTGAGTAACCAACCATAACAATCCGGGTTTCAGGATGTCTTTTCCACATCACCTTACGCATCGAAATTCAGCCGTCACCACCAGGTTTGCTCATTAAAGGTATTGTTTTCTTTCGGTACCTATAGGTGCCCAAAGAAGACAATACATTGACGGCTAAAATTCAAACCGGTGCTTGGTAGAGACATCCTGAAACCCGATCATTACACCATTCTTTTCTGTTAAAGCTTTTATCGGTCAATTCTGAGCATCATGTAATTGTATAAAAACCAGTGGGAAAAAGAGGCTCGAGCGAAAAGAGTCGGTTTATGGGCTTCGACAAATCCTGAGAAGCCATGGGAATGGAGGAAGAACAAAAGACAAGGCAGATGACACTGTCCCAGATAGAAGCGGCCATCTAAACCAGCATAAAGAAACTAAGGGTTGCCCAGATTAAGTTGTTGTGAATTGTAATAATTGTTCAAACCATATACAAAGTGTTCTAACTTTATTATGAATCTGATTATTACAAATCTATACTCTTTTGCATCAATATAACACTAAAGTTTAGCAGTACCAACCGGAATCCGCATAAATCCTAACGAAGAGATAACGAAGCATATAAACATATCAATCAACTATCATATACCAATATACATCGAAAATAACGCTACATTTATAAGCAAGTTTCTCCATTAGAAGAGACCGACGTTTTATTCCTATATCTCGAATAACCGATACATAATCAAGTTAGGCACAAAGATAGAGTGATAGCCAAAATCAAGATAACTATCATTTACCATAGCTGAGAATTACATCAATGAGGAAAATTTCTGTTTCTTTCAAGTAACAAGAAATGGAGAATCAACATTCAACAATTGAATACAACTTACGTACTTGCGGACAATTTTAAAAGGAATACAAGTTGAAGCTCATTGCTCATCATCAGAGTCGGAGCCACTGGCGTTGTAACCTGAAGGAAACCGTAAGAACGATCATTTGATAAAGCAGTTATCGGCCATAGTTTAGCAAAAAGGGAGCTATGGAGAGTACCTGGACGCTTATCACTAACTTTCCATACTGAAGATCTGCTCCTTGAAGCTTTACCGATCCAAGCATGCCCCTAATTTCAGAGGGATCCATTAGCTAATACCGGCATGATTCCGAGTTAACAAGTACACCATGGATGAAGCTTTCAGGTGTCATCAAGCACCAATACAGAAACAGGTTCTCTTGAAGAGAAATTCCATAGTTTTCTATATAAATAGCAATTGATCAAGATTCCAATTAGTGAAACATTTTTCTCAATAAAAGAAATACCAATTTGAGATCAATTCCCAGATTTTCAAGGCATTTGGAATACTAATTACTACATCACAAGAAAACTAAATCCCAGAAAAGTTTCAAGGACACAAAGAACATGAAAAGCAAGAAAATGAATCAAATTAACCCTTTTTTTCAAGCATCTATAAAACCAAATTGAGTAGGGAAAAAAGTAATAAAATTTTCTTAAAAACTACTTATTTAAGAAAACTATATATTTTTACACTTTTCCCAAACACAATTGTTAGTCATATCTCTCATCCATAAATTTGTTTCAGTTTAATTTTCACCAAAGATTTTCTCAACCACGCCTAGATAAATGGTGGGTTAACTCTAACAACATTAAAAATAAAAATCTAAGTAGATTAACGTCATTAAGAGTTACTGTTCATACAAAAATCACAACAAATTAACAAGTTCCTCCCTTTAAAACTCTCCAATTTTCATCTTCATCAGTTTTATTCAACTTCATTCAACAATAATTTAAACTCGAAATAATCCAAATGTATGTTTTTATATTGAATTTATATATATATATATATATATATATATATATATATACATAACGCTGTTTTCAAGTTGTCAATTTTAAAAAATAAACCTTTGAAGGTAAAATTTCGTTTTTCAAAAAACTTATTTTTCACATTTAAGATGTCAAATTCATGAAAGAAAATAATTTTATGAGTGTCCGATCGTATTAATAACGCACCGTGAATTTATAGAAAATCATTTTCCATATTGAAAGAGATTTATTTTCCAGGAAATTTCAATAAATTTCCAGCAAATAATTTGTATACAGATTCAGAAACATGGCAACTGGTGATGAGATGATTAAGGTTGTCGGGGAAAGATACTGTGTCCCATACACGTTAGAGCTTGTCGTGAAGAAGAAATTGCAATCCTTTTCGAATTCACACTACGACGTCTTCGACACCACCGGAAACATTCTGCTTCGAGTCGATGGCAGTGTCTGGAACCTGCAGCGCCGGAGGGTCATGACCGATCCCGCCGGCTTCCCCGTCATCACTCTCCGCGAAAAGGTATGCAACGCTCGAAAATATCAAACACGATATGGTTACATGAACTACATTTTTTATGTGTCTAGTTAATGGATAATGATGTTATAGGGTACTGGAAAATTGCAGCAACCAATATCGTGGAAACAGGAATGGCAAATTCATGAAGGCGAAAACTTGGATTCGAACAATTTTCTCTTCCGAGTGAAGAAATCGAGCGGTTTTCATTTCAAAAGCAATCTCGACGTCTTCTTGGGAAGCCGGTGCAAGAAAGGCGCCGGTGATTTCCGGGTGACCGGTTGTATTTCTTCGCTTTCGATCAAGGTTCGGAGAGGGAATTCAGTCATTGCTGAGGTATAAAATTTAAGTAAATAGATATAGAATTAAAGAATGGAATCGATTATCTGAATCTAAATGAATATACAGGTTATCCACAGCTACACCTGGGAAAGCTACAAGGGCAAAGAGAGTTTCAAAATTAAAGTTTATCCAGAGGTGGACTATGCCTTCATTGTGGCTTTGCTGGTCATTACACACGAAAACGAAAATATATGATTTTATGTTAGGAATGTCAAATTTAATAAATTATATTTAAATTTTATAATGTCCAAATTTAAATCATTTGTGCAATTACTCCTCGTACGAGTAAATATTAAACCTAAAAGATTAGCTTTTAAAAAATAGATTTGTTTAAAACATAAGATGGGTCTGGCTTCAAACATCCAAGACCCAAGTAAAATCCAGCCTCTTTTTACGTTTATAATATCACACAAAAATTAAAGATATAATAATCGGAAAATTCTATAATATTCAACGAGTATCGATGAGTACCACTAACGATGAGTATGATTATTTTAATTTATAAAATTTTAAAATTATAAATTACTTGATGTATAATTATAAATTAATTAAAAATCTAAACATAAATTATTTAAAATAAAATATTAATTATATTATTTTTATAGGGTAAACTACGCATTTAAAGTTTCACTTTTAGTACATTTTAGTACATGAACTTTCTATTTTTAAAAAAGTATACCTTACGTTTAATTTTGATACCCTTCGTTAAAAAATTAACCGCACGCATAATAATGTGAAAATTTTTATTAATTTTTTAAATAACCAAATAATATGTTTTTATTATTAATTTATTCATTCGTGTCACTACCCTATTAAAATAAAATTAACATAATTGTGCTTAGCGTGGGAATTTAACCCATGCCCTTTTAGAAGATAGGATAAAGCTTAACCACTAGGCTAAGCAAGATAATTGTTACTTATTCACCACAAAATATATTTAATTTATTCTCCATTACCACCACAAAACAAGATATTTTAATTAAAATTAGGATTCAAACTTAAGACTTCTCCCCAAGAAAAAATAGTGTACAAATCATTAAGCTAGTCTATAAAATTAATTATATAAGATCAATTTTTTATTTAATTTATATAATTGTTTAATCAAAGACTAAATTATTTAGAAACATAAAACATTTTTTTAGTATAAACTTTAAACCATTAAAATAAACACTATTTTTAACTTCATAAATCCTCTATTAATTTAATATTAAATAAATAAATATAAAATTTTAAATTATTTATAATAAAATAAATTTAAATATTTATTTAATTTAAATTTATATTATTTGATCATACATAAATATTTTAAATATAATTTTTAAAAATAGTTTAATGTCGATTTTTTGAAAACATATATTTAATTATTTTTTAATTATAAAATAAAGTTAAAATAATTTAATTTTTAATTAAGTAATTTGGTTTATAATGAAAAAAAATATTTTTAAATAATTTAATAGTTTAGTATTTAATTAAATTTTTTTGTTTTGTGGCGGTAATGAAAAATAATTAAATATAGGTTGTGGTGATTTATTAATTAGTAACTTGCTTAGCCCAGTGTATATGCCTTTATTGACTTATCTAGAGAGCACGGGTTCAATTCCTTGGGTGTGCACAAATTTTGTTATGTCATGTCAGTCGTTATGTTTTTAACTACGGATATTAAAATGAAACAAAAACTAAACATTTGGTATGATTTTGTAAAAATTGAAAGTTCAGGTATCAAAACATACCAAAAGTGCGGAACTTTAGCCCTAAACAATTTACGTTTAAATTTTTAACTAATTTATAATTATACGTTGAGTACTTTATAATTTTATAGTTTTATAAATTAAATTAATGGTACACATCGTTAATGGTGATCATCGATGCTCGTCGAGCATGGAATAATCATCCATAATTTTTAGGTTACTTATTCGTTTCATTTTTATTTCAAATTAAAATTATTTGGAACTGGTGTAGTTGTGGATTAATTTAAAGTCAGATAAATTCAATTTTAACTTAAGAAAATCGAATGATCAAAATAAATCAAATTGAAAAAAAATAATGTGAAAGGGATCAAAATATAAAAGTTGAGAAGCCAACCACAAAGTTGGGAAAACAACAAATGACCTAATGCCAAAAGTGATGAAAAGAAAAGCTTTTCCAAAATATATTTGTCCATACGTTAATATACACTCAATCCTCATTTGAACATCTTATCTGTTTTCATTTCTTTCATTAGTTATTGTCTTTGCATTTAACTTGTCTCTTAAGTCTAAGATAACGACTGCAAATTAATCAAAACGTAGAAATGTGTTTAATCACTTTACGTGTAGATATAAAACAATAACTAATGAATAAATTTTAAATAATTAATTATGTGTACAAACATCATAAACAAAAGTCAATGAAATATTAGCTTGTCCAATTGATTGTGGTCTAAATATGACATAAGATCATTTAGATAAAAACAACACAATTCCCGCTTTTAGGGTTTGGAAATTTAAATTGATAAATAAATATATACAGAAATCATTTGCTTTATATTTTTTCTATTAACTTGGGTGATTAAGAAATAATATTTATTTAAAAATAATTAACCTTTTACAACACATTCACATCGTGCAGACAAAGCTGATCGACTCATTTTAACACGAGCCTAAATCGAAAGTGATGACGATACACATGCATGTATCTTATCTTCAATCACTTAATCAATATATATATATCTAAAAGGTTGTATTTAGATACTTGAAAAATCAATATCCAAGTAATATGATAATTTAATGCTCTCTAAACACTAGTTGCTCTCCCCCTTTCCCCTCACCTTTATTTTTTCCTTTACAATTTGTGTCATTTT